AGTGGGCAGCCAAAGGACAGCAACCAAAACCGCCGCATGAAAGCGCATGGTTAGTGGTTGTACAAAGTGAACTGAACTGAACTGACCTCACCTTTAATCTCTCCGGCATGGTTCGGTCTTCGGCTTAACAAAAGCCAGCCCGTGTAACTCATGGGGTCACGGAGGTGCACAAGTCATCACACCACGTCAAGATGCACTCTTGTTGTGATCACTACCCACCAAGCACGATGTAATGACTACCCTGCGCAACGACAGATGTAGTATGGAGTTGTTTTCGGTTTGAACTCATCAGGGCTTTACGGACAGGACAGGTGTACAAGAACTAAGTACAGTGAGGAGTTCTCAACCAGAGCATTTATCTCTGTGAAGAACCTAACCACGAGGCAGTAGATAAGGTAGAAGACAGACATGTAATTGGACCTATAACTCCACCATCATTATGTCCGATCGAGATACCAACTTGAATGAAAAGTAGTCTGTGGGACCAAGAGACTGAACTCTATCTAAACCCTCTTTTTTATTTACCAAGCATGATTAAAACGTGGGCTTAGTAAAAGTCATCTCGTACAACCAATAGGTCACATACGTGCACAGATTATCACGGCACGTCAATATGCATTCTGTTCGTGTTAGTTAGTCGAACCCTAATAGCTACCGTAGGGTTTCGATCACCATTCTAATATTAGAAGTCATGAAACCCTGGTGGCAAAATCACTGATTCCTAGTCGAACGGTGTGCACCACTGGTTAAATACCAGCAGTTTTAACCCCGTCCACCTATCGGCAACCTCTTAGACCTGACCCCACTTCTAGTTCACAGATCTTGATAGCCACGGAGAAAAATGTCTGATGTCCTTTGACATATGGACAGCTCTTGAGCTCGTATGACACAGGACTGCAGGTGAAACTCACCCTATTAGGCTTTATCCTGAGGTCATCTCATGGACTCTGGACACTGCGTATCCACACTGGATACCTTCGGGTTAAGCAGAGCCGAATGCTTACGCATTTTGTACCGTTTACCGTTCCCCGAGCAGCAGCGAGCCTTCTATTATTATATTCTATCTTCCAATAGTGAGACGCCAATGGCGGCAGTCCCTAACAGCCAAATTACCATTGTCGGGGACTTCTATATCTACAAGAAGGAATGGCTGAAACACTCCTCAGACACCTCGCTTACGGAACGCGAAGCCGAGGCTTTTGCTGTGGTCCACAACCTAAGTCAATTAGTTTACCTCTCCACACATCCCTGATAGTGCTGGCGACCGCGCCCACACCCTTAACTTCAGTCTCACATCCATTCTCCAACATCGCTTCCCTTTCCCCATTAGGCTCATCGAACCATTTTCTGATTTCCTTTCTCGCTCATTTATCTCAAGCTATTTTACCATCCAACTCCAAAAGTACCTTTTGGAGATACGATTCCGCCTACTGGAACGGTTTTCGTAACTTTCGGGCTTATCCCTAGTAGGTATGTTGTTTCAAATCTGACGTTTCCACTTGTTTCAAACTTCACAGAAAAATTCCTTTTCAAAGTATGTATCTTTGTATTCCATACTTTTCCAAACCCGACAAACCACGATCCCAAATGGCTTTATCATACTTGCAACTGCGTTGTACGTTTTAAAAGTTCGGTATTCCGTCGTTGGCGCTGCTCACCTAATCCAGCATCCCGCAACCGCTTCGTGCAAGCCAGAAACAAATGTTCGTCAACCGTACACAAAGCTAAATAACGCTTCACTTTTCACAAAGCTGCGCGCTTGGTTTCTGCCACCGGTAACCGAACATTCTGGTCCCTCGCTGGAGCGGTTTCGCGCAATTTCTGCACTTCCGACTTTCCCACCACTTTTTTAATTGCTCTGGTACTCTTGTTTGTGAACCCCACGAGAAATCAGGTCCACTCTACCTGGTTTCCCTCCAACTGCACTTTGTCTGCCGACCTTGCTGTTTAACCCCCCTACACTCTTTTCTATCATAACAACCAGAAACGTCTGCCAAACTCTTTATGGTTTAGATGTTCGTAAACCCTTCTGGTCCCAACAACCACCGTCCTATCTCTCTCACATCTGTAATTTCGAGTGTTTAAAACCATTATGTCTGACCAGCTGCGTACGTTTCACGAACGCGAAGGTTTGCTGAATGACCGTCAATATGGATTTTGCCCTCGCAGATTTAAAGATGACCTACTGGCGCTCACATCACATTCCTGGTCAACTGACCACGATAACCAGGAGAAACTCGCATGACCTCACTCGACATTTCAAAAGCCTTCGGCCGCATTGTCATGAAGGCTTGCTGTCAAAATTAGAAATTCGGATACCACCTGCCCCTCGTATCGTCGCTCCGATGTTTCTTCAGCAAGCGAGCCATTTCCGTCCG